GATGTTATCAAATCCTGGCGAGCTATTTCTTTTGTCTTTTAGTGCCAGTTCTAGCTCCTCATAATCGATGCGTCCTTCGATTTCATGAATTGCGTGGTCATCACTTGCTTCTTCTGCTTGGTCTTGGGAGTATTGTACGGGACCAGGTACAAAGTCAGGCGTGTGGATCTTCAAAATTGTCTCGCAGAAATTGTCACTCATTTGCTGAATTGGGGACTCGCCATTATTTTTATTATTTAATCTTTTTACAATGTTCCATAATTTATTCATGTTTGTATTTCTATTGATGGAATTCACGAATTCAAGCCATTTTTCTCTTTTTTTTGTTTTAAATAGTTTTCTAGTCTGTGCTGTGATTTTTTGGAGCTCCAGGTAATTTTTGTAGTTGAATTGAGCTTTTAGTCTCTTAAATGCTATTTTTCTTTTCCTAACTTGAATTTCGCATTCGTTGTCCCACCATAACGCCGGTTTAAATGTATCCGATCTTGGTAATTTATACTGTTTGATGTGTTTAGTGGCTGCATTATTTATTGTTTCTTGAATAAAATTATACATGTCTTCCGAATCATTTGGAATGTATGATGTCTCTAAAGTCTCTTCGATATCTAATCTATACTCATTCCAATTTGCCTCCTTAGTCATCCATTTTCTGCCTGGATACCATCCCACTCTCGTATTATACTTGAATTGCATCTTTATTAAGATAGGCAAATGATCAGAGCCTACATTATCTGGAATTACGCTCCAATGAAGTCTATCATGAACAGAAGGCGAACAGAACGTCAGGTCGATGGCGGCTGATTTCTTCCTAGGCGTTTGTGTTGTCGTATGCGTTCCGTCATTCAGCATTAACAGATTTAGGCTATCCACAATGTCGTAAATAATAGCTCCTCCTCTGTCAGTTATTTCATTACCCCAAGCTAAATGTTTGCTATTAAAATCTCCTGTTAGAATTATTCTGACAGGAATCTGTTCGATGATATTTTTGATTAAGTATAGATCCTTTGTTGCCTGTGGTGCGCAATATATTGAAACCAAACAGAACGGAGTAGCCGATTTAATTATTACCGCGGTCATTTGTATGTCTCGGTTACTTAGTGAATGTGCGAGTTCTTCGCACGGAATGTTATCTTTGATCAATATGGCCGAACCACCGTAGCCGTCCTGTCTGTCCTGTCGAAATATGTTATACCCTTTGAATTTAAATAATTGGCCCTGTTTCAGCCATGTTTCAGTAAAAGCTGCCATATGAATTTTCTTATGAAACATAAGATTTTCGATGCTTTCCTTATTTGCTCTTAAAGATCTACAATTTAATTGTAAAATATTTATATTATCCATCTTTGGTTGGTATTTGTTATAATTATTTTTTCACTATCTTCTAACTTTCGTTAGAATTGACTGCACTTATTTTATTGAGTATTTCATCTTTATCACGATTATCTATACCTGTTTTATTGTTCTGGTTTAAGTAATTCATAATGGTATGTGTATTCCATTTTAACTTATATATAATTTCATCTATCTCTTTACTTTCTTTATTTCTCTCACATTCTATTTTTCTCGAAGTTTCAATGCCAATTCTATAAAATGATTTAATTGTCGTTTATTTTCTTCCTTTTTATTGGTCCTATTACTGTTTAGGCTTAGTTGTTCTTGGTTTCTTTTTTCAGGTTTTTCATTTATCTGGTCTCTGTTATATCGATTGATCGGCCTCAAGTATTCTGTTCGACGTTTATACAAAATATTTCTTGGTTTATTCATTAACATTAATCTGTCTTTGTCAATGTTAATTTCTTGTTCATCTAAACTATTCAATAATTCATATTTATTTTTATGTCTGTGTGAATCCATTTCGGTATTGCCGTTTAGTCTCGGAAACGATGAATTAAACCCCGGATTGTACGGGTTGATCTTAGCAGCCTCAGCATATCCTTTTTTCCACATCATGTTTTTAGCTTCAAGATAAGATATGTTATGTAGTGCCATCATTTCTTTTATTTCTTTATTTACTTTGAAGAATTTACATTCTTTGTCGTTTGCTTGATGGTTTCCATGGCATACTGCACATATAAAGTCTGACACGATATGGCAATTTTCATGAGAGTGTTCTTCTGCACAAAATCGGCATCTTATCTTGCTTTTGCATTGATTTTTTATATGTCCATAACGCCAGCATTTGTGGCATTGCATTACAGATTGAATGTAAGGACTAACAGCACACCTAACCGAATACATTGAGACGTATTCTGGCAGATAGTTACCCCTGAACACTATTTTTACCATTTGTGATTTCATATTTATTTTTTCTAAGTTTCTTTTTTTAATGCATTTGACCTCTAATATTTTAATATCCGATCTAATAACATCCATGATTTCTTGCTCATCCATGTCGGGTTCAACGTTAAAAATAATGCCGGTTCTGTATAATTTATGTCTTGGGATGTACGTTCGTATGTTAAATTTTTCCAAAATTTTCTCTTTGATTAATTTATTAGCATAAAAGTAGTCTTTAAATACTAATTTGATTTTGTTTCTCCCGATCTTTGAGATATCTATGATATTTTTGCTTATGTTAAGCGATTGTTTGAATATCAATCTGCCTAAAGCTAGATTGTGAAATCTGCCAATGCTTTCGTTAGTTGATTCTGCAAAAACCGTATACGGTCCTTCATCATATGGTTCATAATAATTAATTTCTTCGTTTATTTTATTATTTCTAGTGTTATCTTCATTTGTCATATTACTTTCTTCATCCATCATTTCTATCCAACTTTTACTTTTTCCAGTGCTGCTGCAACCTGGGTTATCCTCCATATTTTCATTTAATGTTGTTACTTTGTCTTTTTTAGAATCCAATTTTATCAATTTCTTGATTAATTCTTCGGGTATATTAACCGTTTTTAAACTAGCTTTATTCTTGCTTCTTTTATTGTTTTTTCGCAACATAGCTTTATTGTCATCATCATTCATATTATTTAAATTCACTTGATTTATCGATGTATTATTATCACTCCGCGAATTATTTTCCACATTGCTCGGTAAAACTGTTGTATCTAAAAATTCACTGTCACTTTCTTCCGAAAAATCACTTTCCATTACTTCATCATTGTTGATAACATTAATCGATTTGCCTATTTGGATGCCTGTTTCGACCTCCGTGCTATTGTATTCCTTATCTATCACTGCAGGTATTGATACCCCGCCGGGTTCGAACGGTTTATACTCCATTATAAAACATTACTTATGTAACACTTTTATTGTACTTACTAGTCGCTCCGATCCGTTCAGTTCGGTTGCTCGAGCTCGAATGAGAAAAAAAAAAATTTGTTTAATAGTTTTTAGTTTTGTTCTTTCATTGATTAATATCTTTGATTATTAAATAAACAGTTCATTTTTTGGGGTTCAGTCCAAACAAATTCCTAAAATGATTATTAACCTCCCAAAGAAGAAGTTTATGTTTTCATAAAAAAAAAATCCGATTCGCTAATTTTATGTTTTCTCGACGTTTCAAGCCATTCTGAATCGAATGAGACCAAATTTGGAAAAAGTATGTGTGTGTGTATGTGTATGTAAACAGATTTTTCGCCGTAAATCGAAGTTTTCTCAAAAACGCCTGAACCGATTTCAGTAATTTAAAAGCCACTTGATGTATCTTGACGAAGACTATCGTTTGTCAGTTTTGTGCGACGATCTGTCAAGCCGTTTAATTGTCATTTAGAAAAAAGTGTTAAACGTTTCGTCCACATACTACCGAATCGATTTTGAAAAATCAAAGATAGATATTAATTGGGAATGATACTGATTAGGTTTAGGCGAAGATCTACCGAGACGTTTTCTTGTGGTTAACTATTGAAAAAAAAATTGAGCCGGTTTTTATTGAACTTTTTTTTGGCGATATATATCATGGTCTTATAAAACTTACTGATATATTATGGCCTTACGGCATGTAGTTTTCAAAAAAATTATCAAAGTTTTAGAAAATGAGTAGTTTTTTCGACGTTTGTTCAAATTAAAATTAGACGATTTACTTGGTATAACGATAGAGTACTTGGTCTTAATGAACATACTAAATCATTAAAGTTTTACGGATACTGGTTCAATTATAAAAATTGTTGATTTTTTAAAATTTGCTCTTAGAAAATATTCCGAGTTAACGTGTTCGTTCGTTTTCATACTTTAATCACTCATAAATTAATTTATTTTTTATTGATGCAACTTGCCTTAAGGAAAAATACCAATACCAACTAGTTTAACTGTAGAAGATGAACATCATCAACTGTTTTGAATTCAAGCATTTGTTATTTGAATTTTTAAACTTTATTTAAATTTTGGCTTTAAAAATTATGGAATTTGTAACTTTTAGAATATTTTTTTATCCATGAGCAATTTACGTACAACTTCATTCATTCAATCTTAATTTATTATTATTTCATATTTATCGAAAACAATAATTATTGAAATCAATATGTGTGCGAGAGTTTCGATAAATTGACATATTGTTGCTAATATAGCTTTCAAATTCAACGTATCGACTTGACCGATAATCGTACAAAATTTATTTACGTAATCGAATTAATAATTTATCAAAATTATTAAATTTTTAAATTTATCAAAATTTAATTATTATAAGATTAATATAAATTTTACAAATATTCCATATAGTGGATAACTTTGAAAATCCCAATCATATTTCGAAAGATCATGAGTGTAAGATTATTTTTTGTAATGATGAGTATGAGTAAATTTACTGAAATTTGTTTAAACCATCTAAGGAATGTGATCTGCCAAAATCACAGAAATATTTTAAATTAATTTAAACCAAGTCAATTATCTTGTTAAATTTGTGGACTAAAAATAAATAAATATGTATATTATCTACTAAATACAATAACCGAATAAAGACTAAATGAAAAAACATAAGTTTAAATTATTTTTTTTATTAACTAAACGATGTATATTTTTACTATAAATTATGTAATACTTAAGACTACTTTTTTCTAATAATGGTGACCAAAATGATCTGAATAATCGTGATGTAAATGATGTTTGACTAGAACTGGGGTGTGAACTGGAACTGGGACAGCCTTGTGGACTGGAACAGGGTAAGGAGCTGGTACTGGAACGGCTACTTTGTGGACAATTGGAACCTTGACAGGGACTGGTACTTGTACGGGGTAAGGCTGGTCCACAGAGACTGGCACATTCTTAACAACTTGGACTGGGTACGGTTTGGGGACGTGGACAGCATAGGGCTTGTCAACTGGGTAGGCAACAGGTACTTGAACAGGGACATGAACAGTCCTTTCTACTGGTACTGGAACTGGATGTGCTACTGGAATTGCTACTCGGTTTACAGATACGGTGTGGCTGACTTGATGACCATGAGAGGGTAGTAATCCAGCGGCTACTAAACTTCCACCACCTAAACCCACGCCTGATAAACCTCCGCCTAAGCCAACTCCTAAAAATCCGCCATTCAATGCATGTCCATGACCGCCGGATAATCCACCGTAATCCAATCCATGTTCGTGCAATCCAGTGTTTCCTAAACCAAGAAGGCCGCGTTTGGAGATTTTCTTATCGTTTTCGCCGTAAACAGCAGAGGCAACAACGACTAGTACAATCTATATAATATAATTTATAAAGTGTAAATTTTTAATATACATATTGATTTATTTAATTATTTATTAACTTACTAGAAATTTCATTGTAGATCTGTTCATTTCTTGTGAATGAGAGTTTCAAAATGAAATAATCGATCAATGTTCAGTTTTTATATAGTCACTTATAGACCTCTCTTTTCGTCATATATTTCGATATACGTTCAATTTCGTTCAGACTTCTACATTAATTAGTTCCTCAATCTAATTCAATATTCATCATTGCTTAAATCGCGATATGATATTCAGTTCTCTTTTTTAACATTGCTCTTGATTTTGTTCCCAATTATGTCATATCCATAAATCTTTCAGATCGTGTGATTATATAACTTTTTGCACTTTAAATTTGATAGACATATATTCAATTATGAGCAATAATTTGTATTAATATACGATTTTTGTCATAAAATTCAAAAAATTATAATCGTAGTAGATTATGAATTCGGTGAAAGTTAAATTAGTTCCTACAATTACTTAGAGTAATGTTTTTAACTTTGGATTTAGTACTTTTAGTGACCATATGCTAAGTTAATTATATGAAAAAAAAATATCAACTTTTCATCATTTATTACAGTAAACAAATATAACAAATAAAAGAAGCTCGAGCATCAAAAAGAAATTTTAAATGCGCATTGTATAAAGTGAAGATCATTACAAATCTTGCCCAAAAGTTATCTGAACGCATTTAAATTTATATCCTAAATATCATATCAAATTAAAAAAGTATATCTTAAACAAAATAGATGAATCATGTTTATAACCAAATCTTCAAATAAAAAAAATCTTAAATTAATTTCTTCATAAGCTTTGGAAAATCTATAACCAAATATTTTTATAATACATTTTGCCGTTAATATAACTTCCCGTAGATGAGGTTATAGTAATCGTAAAAAAATCAAAAATAAAAATTTTTGAATATCTTTACTTACCAGAGGTTTTTGAATATCTGTATGTGTGTATGTTTGAATACAATTTTTCGTCCACAATTTCGTAAACACAAATCATCCGATTTGAATAATTCAAAAAACGATTCATATTGATAAGAAGACGTTCTGATTAGTTTTTGCCAAAAGCAGGTATTTTAGAGATTTTAATAATAAAAACAAATTTTGTTTACATTTTTATGGGTTCCGTATCATTGGTCATCCGTTAGTGTGCGACTCATCGCTTCCGCGCTTCGATACTTCGTCTTTGCGCAGCTAACTCAGTGCGATATTGTTCTGAAAATGGGTTGCAAATTTCAAGGAAATTTCAAAATTCTCAAGAATCTAATTTTTCAAACTTCAAAAAAAAAAATATTTTATTTCAAAAAATGTAATTTTCGGTACGGGAAGTACCAGCAATTTGTTTTAAGTATAATGATTAAATAAAATTGTGAAATAGGTTTTTCACTTGTGTGATATGACATTAAAAAAGTGTTGTTCATAATAGTGTGAGATCATACAGAAAGATTATGGAAACCATAGGAATAACAACTGTAAAAAAACGATGAAGTTAAATATAATTTGAAGCATTCATGGTAACAGAAAAGGTAACTATTTTTAATATTTTTTCTGGCTCTTAAATTGTTGCTTTTTAGGTTTTTATTTTACTGGTTTATATTAAAGCTGTAATGAAAACGAATTAAATGATGAAACTGTGATGAAAGAATTATTAAGTAATCATAATCATATTTGATGTTGCTGAACTAGAAAATTCAAAATGAATGGAGCGATAAATGATATATAGACTTATAGACATAGTCAACTAGCCAAAAATATAGCAAGTTTCAGAATACTCCGATATCAAAGGATTTGATCAAATGGATTTATGAAGGGTTTTAAATACAAATAATAATTCCAAGTATTCATCTAATATCATTTTAATGAATCTAATATTTATTTATAAATATATAAACAAATATAACTATCAATATACAAATGCTCATCTACAACTTTATAATACATATTATAGTTTCTAATTACTATAATGAATAAAAAAAATATACAAACAACATTACTGTTGGAAAGACAATTCTGGTTGCTGCTTTTTTATTTCATCTTGCATATCTAAAGTTAATTGTTTAAATTTATCTGCAAGTTCATCATTCTGAACTACACCATCTCCTCGTCGATACATTTGACTTAAATTAGCACAAGCATAAATATTTCGTAATGCACAAGCTTTCTCTGAAAATTCAAATGCTTTTTTCATATCTTTCAAGAGTTTAAAATTGGAAATATTCTTTGAGTCCTTTTCACTTGTTCTATTAGCAAATTTAGTGCTATCATAACCCGACATGTATAATCCGGACATATAATAACAAGCATTGCCATTTTTACTATCACAGCTTTTTTCTAGCATTCGAAGACCATTTTCAAATTGGTGATCCACTTCAGGAATTGGCGTATTAGATGTTCTTATAAGACCAGCATATAGACAAGCATCAGGATCACCAGATTTGCATCCTTTCTCGAAGTAGTTCACAGCCGTTTTGTGATCAGTTTTTTTCACACCCTTACCGAGAAGAGAGTAGCTGCCAAATTTGAAACAAGATTTACCATGTCCGGAGTCATCACAATTAGTTTGGTAGACTTTGCCAGCTTTTTCGAAGTCTTTTTTGATTGCTTCGAAATAATCTGCTAGTAGATGGCAAACTTCGGGCTTTTTTTCGTGATAACATCCGAATCTATATTCGATACCCAAATTCTCTAAGTATTCTTTAACACTCTCTTCATTCTGTAGATCATAACTCATTTTAAAGGCAGTTTTCTTAGAAGTATGATCGGGTGTAAGCAAATATTTTTGAGGTTAGGAATTAGATAATCTACAGACAGAATGTCATTTTTGACATAATGTTGGCACGTGCATGCAGAAAAACTTGTTAAAAATTTATTCTTAACGACTGAAAAGAGTATAAAATACACCAATAAATCAGATCATTTCTATTAATTAATTCAATATAATTTTTATAACATCTTCATATTCATTTCTTCGATAACTTTCTCTTTTTGACAGTTCTGCAGTATGACATTTTGATTTTGACAGTCACAAATGTCAAAGCAGTCGCACGAAAGGAATTTGTGAACGTTTGTCAATAATATTGAAAACAAAGACTGTTGTGTGGGTTTTAATAAAATTTAAATATAGTATCCGATGCTAGAAAATTTTGTTACTATATCTTATCAAGAATTTTCAAATATAAACACCAAATATGACAATGGGCGATGAAGCTCCTGTCACTTCCCTTGTGCTTCCAGTTCTATTACGCCCAATTCTTTCACAGGTAAACTTTAGATATAATAATGCTAAATGTTCGGTTATTTTTATTTGGAATACAATATTTTCTATATGATTATAATCTCATATTATCTACCATTGTATTGCACTATCAAGGCTAACATTTTCCTAATAGATGTATTATATTTTATCCGTTGGAATATAGTTTTACATTATAACAAGATGATAGGACTACTCTACCCAGAAATTATTACGATCAATATCTGCAATAGTATCATAATATCAAAGCTAACAATTTCCCAATAGATGTATTTTATTCGTTATTGAAATATAGTATTGTATTATAACAAGATGATAGGACTACCGAAAAAATATTACGATCAGTATCTAAAATAGTATTACAATATCAAAGCTAGCAATTTCCCAATAGATGTATTTTATCAGTTATTGAAATATAGTGTTACATTATAACAAGATGATAGGACTACTGAAAAAGTATTACGATCATTATCCACAATATCAAGGCTAGCAATTTCCTAATAGATGTATTTTATCCATTATTGAAGTATAGTATTATATTATAACAAGATGACTCCTATCATCTTGTTAAAATATAACACTATATTTCAATAGCAGTAAAGGATTACGAAAAGAATTATGATCATATTTACAATAGTATCGCAAGATCAAGACTAAAAATTTCCCAGTAGATGTATTTTGTTCTTTATCAAAATGTAGTGTTATATTATAATAAGATGATAGGACTACCAAAAAAGTATTATGATCAATATCTGCAAGAGTATTATAATATCTAGGTAAACAATTTCCCCATAGATGTATTTTATCAGTTATTGAAATATAGTGTAACATTATAACAAGATGAAATAATATCGAATAAATATCGAAATGTAGTGTTATATTATAACAAGATGAAAGGACTACTGAAAAAGTATTACGATCAGTATCTACAATAGTATTACAATATCAAAGCTAGAATTTTTTAAATGGCTGTATTTTAACAGTTACTGATATATATTATTACATTATAACAAGATAATAACAACATTATAAACGATCAGTATCTGCAAGAGTATTATAATATCAAGGCTAACAGTTTTCCAATAGATGTATGTTATTATTAATTAAAATATAGTGTTATATTATAACAAGATGATAGGACTACCAAAAATGTATTATGATCAATATCTGCAAAAATATTATAATATCAAGGCTAACAATTTCCAAATAGATGTATTTAATAATAGGTTGTCAAATATCTCCCTTCCGCTTTTTTGCTCTTGGTTTATAATACAAAAAGGCGGAAGGGAGATATTTGACAACCAATTTTTTTATTTTATCCATTATTGAAGTATAGTTTTACATTATAACAAGATGATAGGGCTACCGAAAGAGTATAACGCGTTCCAATACTTTTTGATTATAAAATTTCTAACACCAGCATTGATAGATGTAATAAAATTTTAGATTTAGGAGTTCTATTTGATTCTGGTTTGTTTTTCACGGATCATATAACTGATATTTGTAATAGAGCACACAAATCTTTAGCTTTGATACTGATAAATTGTAAACAATTTAAATCTACCAATGCGCTTCTTTGCATGTACTATTCTATTGTACGTTCAAAATTAGAATATGGTTCGATTATTTGGTATCCTCATCAAACCAACAACTCTGATGCGATAGAGAAGGTTCAGCGAAAATTTCTGAAATATCTTTATTATAAAACATATAAAATTTAGCCTGAATGTGGCTTTGACCACAACACTTTACTAAAAGAATTTGGTATTCCTTCCCTTGCCTCACGTCGATTTATCTGTACAATTATGTTCTTATTTAAACTTTGCAATAATTCTATAGACTGTCCTCTTATTCTTAATCAACTATCCTTTAATGTTCCAAGGCTATCTACGCGTTCACAATTATTTTTCAATTATCCTACTCCTAAATCTAATTCTCTCTTAAATTCGCCTATTCTACTTATGTCCTCTAACTTTAACTTAATTAATAATGAAATAGATATTCACAACACTTCACCTAATCAAATAATCACCATCTGCACAAGTTAACCTTTTTATTTTCTTTTCAAATATCTCATTATTTTATCTTATTCTGTTTATAAATAATATTGTTACATTCTGCATTATATGTAATTTTATGTAAGCATTTTAAGTTAATAACTTTATATTGTAATTTTGTTTATATTTTAATTGTTATTCATTATGTAAAATAACTGTATTTTTGAGTCCTCTTGGAGTAATCTGTGGGCTATATATTTAAATAAATAAATAAATAAATAAATAAATAATGATCAGTATCTACAATATCAAGGCTAACAATTTCCCAATAGATGTATTTTATCAGTCATTGAAATATAGTGTTATATTATAACGAGATGATAGGTCTACCAAAAAAGTATAACGATCAGTATCTACTATAGTATTATAATATCAAGGCTAACAATTTTGCAATATATGTATTTTATCAGTTATTGAAATATAGTTTAAAAGGATTACGAAAAGAATTTTCATCAATATTTACAATAGTATTACAAGATCAAGACTAAGATTTTCGCAGTAGATGTATTTTGTTCTCTATTGAGATGTAGTGTCATATTATAACAAGATGATAGGATTACAGAAAGAGGATTACAATCAATAATTACAATAGTATTATAATATTGAGGCTAGCAATTGCATCCATTATTAAAATATAGTGATATATTATTCATCATGATTCGAAAAAGAATTATGATCAATATGTTGATCACAATTGTAGATATTTTGAAATTCATTAAGACTGAGATTCATAAAAATGTGATTCCAATTATTAAAATTATAATAGGTACTGATATTGCAGCTAATGGGTTTTCTATGGCATAAAAGTTAAGCATACTTTCTTGTGTTGACAAGGTTGTTCAAGCCCCCTGATATTATGCCGCAGTGATATCAATTTTTACTTAAAAATATAGATCGAAAGTACTTTTCCAATTGAAACTAGCCCGTTTACAGGCAATGTGCTGTGTAATAGCAATAGAACTTCCACTATTCTTTCCTAATTCGAGTTGAAAATTAATTCGCCTCTCGGACCTGCCCTAGGCCAGAGTACCCCATTATTATTTATTATTACTGTACAATAAGGCAATAATTTCAAGTTTTCTGTGTCTTTGCGATTGCTGATGATTAACAATAATTTACAGCTGGAAAGAAGAGACAGGGCCGCTTCACAAACCCTTAGATCAGCATTGACAAAAGCCGAAAGTGCACACCCAGGCCTAAGTCTAGAACTCGTGCAAGGTATACTGAGACGAGCTGAAGTCAATCTTAATGTCAATGAAAGCATTTTGCGATTGCAAGGGCAGATTTCAGACACTGATGGTATGAAAAGAAAATTAGAGATAGAAAAATTTATTATTAAAATATTAGAGAATTACTGATTGTAATTCTAAAATTAACTGAATTTTTTAATAGTTGTAGAATATAAATTAAGTCGTTCCGAAGATGCCTTTCAAGAATTAAACAGAAAATCGGCTGCTTTAAAACGGATTTTAAGTCGAATACCAGATGAGATTACAGATAGAAAAACATTTCTTGAAACTATCAAGTATGTATTAAGTAAAAATCTAATTAAATGCAAAACTAATCTAAGTAACCTTATTGTTACGTGAATGTCAAAATATAACTTTTTATAGGGAAATTGCCAGTGCTATAAAGAAGCTTCTGGATGCTGTGAATGATGTTTCTGGTTTTCTGCCAGGATCTCCAGCAAAGCAAGCCTTGGAGCAACGTAAACGTGAATTTGTGAAGTATTCAAAAAGATTTAGTAATACTTTGAAAGAGTATTTCAAGGAGGGACAGTGAGTTTCATTGCTTATTTTATGAGAAAAACTGATTACATGAAAATATTGCACATTTAACAAATATCTTTATTTTCAGAGCAAATTCAGTGTTCACAAGCGCATTATATTTAATTCATCAAACGAACCAAATAATGATTACAGTAAAAAACAAATGCGAGTAGTTTAAGAAAGTCTGTGCGAAAAAATCAATCATTATAAATATGGAGAAATATATTAAACTGTTGCACATTTACTATGAATTAAAATGGATTTATTAATCTGACGTTGTCCTTATACTGGACATTGCATAATGAAGTCAATTTTATTGTTATCATATGAGCCAGTTTATGAAAGTATTAAAATAGATAAGAATTCTAGAAAATATATTGTACAAAATTCAAACTTTATGATTCAAGCAACTTTGAAACAGAAACATTTTTCATTTTTGTAGTATATTCTTTGAATTTAGAATAAAGTTAATTAGATATAAAGGTGCTGGATGTTAATAGGTAAAATTCAATGTAATCAATAAGAATATAATCTATTAAATGTTATGATTTATATATTTTATCCTTTTATGTATAATCAATTCATATATTTAAAAAAATGTATTTGTTCACAATGATGACGTATTATTTTAAAATTTAATTTTACGCTGTTGGAACCTTATACATTACGTACAAGCAAATATTTACAAAAAACTTGGACAAATATTTTGATTTGCAAAATATGTGCAGAAAGGAAACTACTGTTACTGATTAAATAGTCAAAAAAAGTTTTATAATGCCTACAAAATCTAAACTAATACAGACAAGTAAAAAAAGGATTCTTAAGAAGAATATTGAAAAATTATGAGAGCAGTAAGCATAATCATAGGCAATGAAAAAAAATTGACATATATAGGCTATGCGAGAAGATAAGAACATATGCAATCAAAAAGTTATAGGTAGCCAATGCTTCTCAACAGAATGTGTAATTCGATGATGCAAAAATGATATCAAGAAAAATCGAAATCTTATGAAAGACGTAGCACTAATTACTAGGGCTGAATAAGTGATAAAGATATTAAAATAATTTGTATTTTGAATAAACTACATACCTTGCTAGATTATGTCAGATAAAACAATCTAGGATAAAACAGTTGACATGCAAAGTCATACAAAATCTTATGAGAAGGTGATACATTAATCATAATTTTTGGATAAGGTCATAGAGTAAGTATAAAATATTAGGCACGACAACATTTATAACAGAGTATAAAAGAAAAGTAATAATTACTTTGTGATTTGATATGAAATATTTACTCTAATAAGAATCCAAAATAAAGATTCCTACCTTAATCAAACATGTAGAACAAAATATTCCAAGAATGTCAACACTGTTTCACTTCACTTTTTACACAATTTGAATACAACACTTCTAAATTAAGTGGTTATAAGTCATTAAAATTTTAAATTAATCTTTATTAATTAATTATTATTTTATTTTAAATGTCAAATAAACATTTCAAAACTAAACAGGTTCAATACTAACTTCACAGACAACAAATAATTGTACCATTTTATAATAATAAATTTTTAATGTTTACCAACCTATTAGAATCAAATATTTTTGACATATCCTGGAACCAAATCCAGCAAATGTATTTTAATCGCTCACTGTTTTGTTATGGTTATGTTAATCTTACTTTATCTTGGAAATCTATACATAATTACAGTGTTTTGTTGAAATCTATTATAATTTTATCAATATTGTGCATGTTTTAAGCACATCGTAATCAATTCTTATAAGATTCTATTGCACCTGCTTAAGTGAAATGTTTTATTCGGCCTTTATAAATGTAGCTTAAGTTTCAGTAATTTTTAATTATGACATGATTAGTTTCCTACGATATCGGTTATTATTTTGAATAAAAAGTAAAAAGATTGATTGATAGACATATATTTTTGTGCAATACTTCAAGATTTTGTTACCCAAAGGTAAGTGCATTCAGTAATCCTTCTGATTTTGTGTAGTCATGTAATAAGGTGGGCGCTGTATGGAATCGAGTATGCATATTATAAGGACCGTCAACACTCTTCAGATTCTTTTATCTGAGATGCCAAATGAAGAGAATCCCAAGTATTTCCCTGTACCTGCCTTTTTACTTTACCCAAGCCTCCATGGGTCGTAGCGCTCGACGCAGTATAAAACTAATAATGTTTTACTTTTATTTGTAATAACATCCTATAATATAATATATTATTTAGGTTTACTGATATATCAATATTTTATTTAATGAAAGCGCTGGAACTGTCGGCGCAGGTTATAAATGTTAAAAAGCAAATGTTAACAAACAAAAACCAACTGGCAACTTGGGCTTTCTCTTTATTTGGCATCTCAGATAAAAAAATCTGAAGAGAGTTGGCGGTCCTCATATTATGCATACTCGATGCCCTACAGCGCCTGGACTATAATAGATTTTTTTTATACAGTAGAACTCCAATTATCCGAACTCCAATCATCCGAACTCCAATCATCCGAACTCCAATCATCCGAACTCCAAATATCCGAACTCCGACTATCCGAATCGCCGATTATCCGAATCACTTTCAGAAAAAAAAATGTCCAAAAAAAGTCTAAGTGCGCTATTATTCTTCCACCAGCGAAGCTAGTGTAGGCACATTGTTTGTTTTGATTTGACGGAGATGTTTACAAAACAATGATTTTTATTTCTAAACTTGTACATAAGTACATTTTATTTATATTTAAAACATGTGAAAATGTCATGTTTCTTTCATTTAATTCTATAAAAAAATAATGCAATATCAAAACTTGCACTTTTCTTCTCTCCAATGGCAATTTTAAAAAAAAACTCCGAATATTTGATTATCCGAATATTTGATTATCCGAATCGGTCCTGGTCCCCATTAATTCGGATAATTGGGGTTCTACTGTATTAGAAACAACTTGTAGTTACAGTTGTGATATTACTTTATTAATGGGGAATTAATAATTCCATGACATAATTTATATAAATTCCAATTTCATTTGTATCAGGTCTCAGGTTCTTTTAATGCGCCATTAACGCATGAAATTTACAACAATTGAAATTTATGCACCGATTCTGCCGTAAAATAGACCAATGTTATGGCAGGGCTATGTTACGTTTCATTTTTTATTCAAAATGCTACTAAATACTATCAAAATGCCATGTATTTGCTGTTCGATCAGGCGTTTCACACAGAAGATGCAACTTCACTCATATGTTATCAAGCCATGAGTTATATAACTCAAAGATGCAATTATGATAAAAACTTTTTTTTTTTTTACATTTGTGCGTTTTCTAGGTTATGTTTTCGATCTGAAACGCCTGACTGCACAGCAACCACATAGGCTTTTGACAGTTTTTAGTACCACTTTATATGAAAACTGCTACATAGCATAGCCTTGTTATAACATTGGTCTATTTTACGGCAGAATCGGACCTTTAGTTAAAGTTTATCTTAAAGTGCAAATGACGCTACTATCACAATTCTTAACTTTTTACAGTTATTAGTCTCTTACAATTAGATTGTTGATCCTGATTAATCCCTCTTGTTTTTCTCCTGATAATCAATCAAGTTGTCTGCATTGATAATGCAAATTTTATTTTTGAATAATACATGAAATTCTACTAGAAACTTGTATTAGAACATGTACCAAGTGATAATCTGTGATCTGAGATCTGCTCAAGATTCATGAGCCTTGTCCTACTAAGATTTCATACCACTAACCTCTGTGACTCCTTTTAGCCTTGAATCACCACATGATGAAGAGATCCTAAGAAGACAAGACTCTATATCCTTGATCCTAGAAGTCAAATGTCCATAGTACTCCTCATAGATGTCCAGGATAGCAGAATCCAACCTCACAAGAGTGGAAATAAACATAAAAATATACCTCACTTTGAAAACAAGTGTTTTGAATTATGTCATGTTTTAATATATTGTTATATTAATAAATGCTTCATTAGTTCTTATATTAACTATGATATTTTACTTCATCCAAGATCACGAAAATAAGGTTCTCCAATTTGGGACGTCCAGAATAGTACTTTTTTCCTACCTGTATGTGATAAAATTCATATTACAATCTATATTTCCAAATGATATTATGTTGTACTCCTGCTTGGTATTAGACATCGATTTCTGGAACCTCTGAATAAAAAAATAGTTTTATTAATTTTAATAGGAACTCTCGTTACCTAAGCCTGGTATTGAAACTGTTCAAAGCAGAAAAAATATTTATTTTATCCGAAGCCCTTGATAATTATATATCATATACCACCATGTTTAGGAAGAGTGTTACTCAAAATTGCAATGTTATGAGTTGCAATTTATCTGAACCATTGCAAAATCAAATGATTAGTTCAAGTATGATATGATATTTTCGTTATTAATTCTAATTGGAACCGTCGCCAATCTTGTATAATTATAAGATATACTATCTAAACCGCAAACAAAAACAAATTTTAGCTCGGCGGTATTAACTTATTAAATTAATAGTGTGCCTTTGGTATGCGTGTCAAGTATCATATAATCATTCTTTGCAGTAATCATAGTAATAACTCAATTAGGCTACCTGCACGGGTGTCAGGTTGACTTTCTATCAAGAATGTGAACGATATATAAAACCAATTGATAAGGTCATTTTATAATTCAATGTTCAAGAATCAATAATCAATAATAACACGATAGTAATAATACAGGTGTATTGATACTGCCAGGCATGATATTTGTCTAATGGTAAACTGCAGGGCAAAAAATTTGATCATGCTGACCGAATGAGATAGTGGTTTTTTAAAAACGTATATCGTATCCAATAATTTGTCTTTGATGATTAAACTTCTGATAAGTTACAACTTAAATAGACGTCCTTTCGTTTTTCCTGCAAATTATTGCAAATACCATATAAAGTTCAGATTCCTATTTTAATTCGATTATTTAACTAGTATGTAGTATTGATGTAATCTATAATTATAGATAAATCTTTAAAGATAATATAGGTTAAGATCGGCCGGGCCGTTTCCTTGTAATAAAGTATTAAAAATTTGTTTTCCGACGATTTTTATAACTTTTTTTTACCGTAGATACCATAGTCTTGTAGATCATACTAAAATATTACGGCCCTACGACAAATCGTTTATTTTTAAAAGTTCTTCAAAGTTGTCAAAAATGGGTATGGTTTTTTTAGCGT